AGATACCCTGTAATTTACTGTGGCAAATAATATATTGCTGCTGAGTCTGTTATTTAACTGATATAAATATCTTGGTCGTAGGTATGGGTGTTCTTCAGTTGCGTATGCCCCATAGGTGATACATTTTAGCAACTTCAACTAGAGGGTATCAAAGAGTTATCAATAATCAGTAATGACATGTAATAAACATTTATCTTGCCTTTTATCGTCATAAACTAAGAATACGAAGAAATATAGGCTAGAAATATATTGTGTGTAAATAAAATCGATAAGCTATCAGTAATACACATAAAAAAATTATCGATAACAATCGATGCACTAATTATTAATTAACAAGTGATCAATATTAATCGATTTTATATGTTTAGCTACAAACGGCATTTGACATATAAAATATATGCACTTTCCTAGAGCCCACTTCAACCACACCTTCAGTGCGTAGCTACCCTTTCTGTTTGCTTTTTAATGGGTAGAAAGCATTGATAATGCTGGAAGAGCGTCTATCTATTATATGGTACACGATATGCGGGTTACAAATGCGTAACGAGTTTTTAAGAGGCGATTGCGACTCTGACTGTGACTGCAACTGGAAGGCAGGTTCCATTCCCGTTCCCGTTCCCGTTCCCTTCCGCACCTCTACTACGATGCAGCGTGTCTTGGAGCTGACAGTGCGTCATCACCTTGGGACTAGACAACTTAGACAAGCAGATGACACAGAAGGAGGTGCAGAGAAAATGAGAGGGAACGAGTGAGAGACTCTTCATCAACACTAGAGAGCAGCGCATAACAATCCATTGAGGTGCTGACGGAAAGGGAGGAGGTGAAACAGGTTAGACATATCTATATGCTGCCAGAGATGAGGAGAAGGTGGAGGTGGAGGAGGATGGGCATAGTGGGAGGGAAGGGGCAGGCACAACTCACGTTGTCGTTGTCGTCAGCATCGTTGTCGTCGTTGTCGTTGTCATTGTTGTCAAGAGTAATTGTGTAGCTATTTGAAGGTTAAATTGATCATCATCAACAGCAATAGCAACAGCAACAGCAACAGCAACAGCAGCCTTCGACGCCAGCAGAAATGCAACGTGCGACCCTCCGACTGAACGAGATAGAGGGATAGTCAGATAGAGTAGGGCTCACAAAAGGGTTAGGGCTATACGGGAGAGGACGGAAAAGCATGTGACATAAGCTGATTAAACACAATTCTCAATTAAGAGACTAGACAAAGCGCATGTAAACAATGTGGGCATAGCTAGATTCCGACTAATGCCAGAGAGATTGCCGTTCCGCTTTCAATTTGCGTCTTAATATTAATCCCTGACAGGCAAAGTTGTTAGCTCTAAAGATAGGAAATTTATAGGAAATTCCATAGAATTCTAAAATACCATATGTATTTTAGGGCCATAGCTGAGATATCGTCAATGTAGTGAGCACGAAGTAGAGTTTCTATGCAGCAGATAGCAAAGAGTAAGTCAAGTGGTGTTTTTGGGGCTTTCTCAAGACCTCACAATCTATTCCCAAGATAAGTTAAAGTCGATCTCTTATCGAACTGTTGCAAGTCAGCCAAATTGTTTTACTGCTAATCAAGCTTTTTGATTTTGGATTGATCTATGGAACCTTCGTATCGAGGCTTAAGTTCTGAAGACTGCAGATGATTTAAATCTAAATGCATAAAATGTTGCTCAATTTTCAGCCAGCTCGAAAAGCAGTAAGCCTTCAGTAGTATTGAAATCAGCTTCACCTACTTTCATATTCCTATTTTCCATACTCTATCCCCCCTCTCTATCTCTCTCTATCTGTCTGTCTGTCTCGCTCTACAAACTCAGACGACAGAGCATACTTCCTAAATACATAACAGTCGCAGCTGCCACTTTCATCTCGCGCTGCCCAGCCACACTGTGTGGCAATAAATCCTTATGCAATTTTAAGCAAATTCTGTGGCTGCCACAACTACGTTGCCCCACCTACGCCCCGAAACAGCCTACAGAAGTTGGTCGCGTTCCACATTCAGTGGAGCGACGAGTCAGTCGGTCGCTCGGACTGCCAGCCGGCCAGCTATAGTCAGTCGATAAGCAGATTAGCTTACTGGGCTCATTTGCCAGCCAACCGCAAACAGAATTGGCTTAAGAGCTGGCTCATTGTCAGCCCCATTATGGCCCTGGGTAATCCCATGTGACGTATGTATTTAATGCTCGACTCGTCGATAGCCGGCAAAATAGGCAAAAAAAAAAAATAAAATAAAACAAGGTGGCATATGGAAACCACCTGCCCTCCAATTTGGAGCAGCCCATCCGATCCGATTCGATCCGATTCCATACGATGCGACCCCGCAGCTGTCCTCGTTTTCCTACGGCTGTGCCTGCTCCGCCAATATATTTTTTTTGCTGACGCGCGTAAAAACTACGCCCAATGCAGCAGCAGCAGCAGCAGCAGCAGCAGCAGCAGCGACAGCGACAGCTGACCTACATCCGCATCGAAGAAAAAAATTAAAGCCAAAGCCGAGCCGAAGCGAGAAAAAACGAGCGTCGAATCTGACCCGAATTTGACAATAGAGGCACAGCTGTGAAGCTCTGGAAGCCATCTACTTATCCAAACAGCAAAACCGGCAAATTTTTAATCCAGCTAATTTTCAATTAACTCTCGCAAGAAAAACTCCGAAAAGCTGAGCCGCTGCATTTGGCATTTGTGTGATTTGCATTTGCTGGGGACTGGCGACTAGGTCGCAGGCAGCTGACCTACGCCACGTCCCAAAGGACAATGGACCAAAGGACCTAAGCAGCGTACGTGCAACGCCTTTTTGTTGCCTTTGGGCGTCGCTCGACGCTCAGCGCTCGACGCTCGACACTCAACGCTCGACGCTCTTCTAGCTTCTGCTTTTCTAGCTCTCAGCCTCGGCTGGGTAATTGATGTTGACGTCGTCTCTTTGCCCGCCTCGGCCTTGTGCGTAATTGACGCTGACGTCGGCGTTGCTCCAAGCAGAACAACAAAGTTTTTCCCTAATATTTAATGCACACTCTGACTCCCTTTTTGAGGGGTATATTGTCTGTTGCCATACATATCTGTCGCAAAGTATGCTTAGCTCTTAGGCTCCCCTTCTCAAATGTTCATTGATTATGCTCAAAGCGCATTACGTCTATATTGGTTTCCCCTGCAACTTGGCGTGCTAGACATGCTTAGCTCCTTTATGTTGGCTCCTATCAAATCTAGCCGCTTTCATAGGATATTCAAATACGCTTCCTTTACAACTAACGTAGCTTTAGAGGAACTGTTGTTATGGGTTTCAGAGGCTTCGATGCCTAACTGTTTCTAACTTTTGAGCCTATTGAGGGTAACTACGATTAAAGAGGTCGAACAGCTCTAGAGCCACAGTTCGCGGGCTACAAGAAGACGCCGCTGTATTATTCAGATTTTCTTTGAATCTTAGCTAGGAAAAGTTTACGTGATTTTCTATATTCGCCTTAGAATTTTGAAGCCAAGCACTTAAACTAAGCTCCAATCAAAGCTAAGGATTCGATTCAGTTCACTACAACAGCCGCATATCCTTAGATACTTCTCTATCTAGAATAGTTTAAGTGCAAGCTGATTCCTATTTCTGGAAGCCCTTCATATTTACATATTTAATATATATTCTAGACCTGACGTCTTTTTTCTTATCGCAGTTAATCGTAAAATCCTTTACATTAAACTTATCCGAAGGCCAATACATTTTCAGATAAATCATTTCTCTAACGGAATGGAATTTCATATTTTATATATTTCACTCCCAGCGGCGCCCACTTCCGCAATGAGAATCAAAGAGCTGTCATTCCCAATTACAATCGGCGCTGGGCACCGTGAGTGTGTGGTTATGTCGAATGGAGTGTATTGTTTTTGTTGCCGACGTTGGTTATCATGCGGACCACTGGCTCAAGATGCTGTTAGATAGCCCGCGAGTGAACGAGCCACGCACATAGCGTGGAGGCAGGGAGAGGTAAGCCAGAGGACGGTGCGGGGGCCACAGGCATTTCGTCAGTGAAACAATGGCAGCTGCTGTGTGTTCCCTGCTGCGAATTGAGGTGAGTGGCTGTAGGGTTCGGGTTCTCTTCTTCTTTTTTATATTCTTTCTTTTTTTCTTTCTTTTTGTTGTTGTTGCTTTGGGTTCGGCCATGCCCATTGATACATGGCGGTGGCCGTAGACAACGGGCAATCAAAAGAAACCAAACAAAGGGAATGAAAGAAAGGAAGAACAAGAAAATGGGAAGCCGGAAGTGTGTGTGTGTGTGTGTGTGTACGTAGTAGCAGCTCTAACCCCCCCTACCCCACCACGACAAGCGAGGGCGGAGGTAGACAAGAATCCGGGCACATGCAGCGCACATGGCAAGCAGCAGCAGCCAAAGTGGAACGCTATGGGAATGAAACAAAAAGGGCTCGACAGACGCACGCAGGCAGACAACAAAAGGCGTAAACAAAATGGGAAATATTGAAATTTATCAAAGCGGCTTCAGCTTTGTTGTTGCTGTTGCCAGATATTTTGTGCAATTGCAGCAAAAGTTAGTTAGGCAAACAGAGAGGGAAAGAGAGAGCGACAAGAGAGAGAGAGACTGGTTACATAGACAGGCAGAGCAAAAGAGAGCGCACGCTGCTTACAGGTAAATGAGAACGTTCGCTTAAAACAAAAAGTAAAATATATATAAGCATATATATATATATATATATATATATATAGAGTTTGAGGCAAGGATACAGATACAGTGCATTGATATATGTATTTCGAACTAAACAAATCAAAATGCAATCAATGTAAATGGGACGCACTTCAAGTGCATAATAGCGGGGTCTCAAGTGGGGGCACCACTTGAGGCGCCACTTGGCGTTTACTCCAAATGGTACAGCAAATAGAATAAAAACAACAAGAGTATGGCGCTACTTTGACACGCTCGTTATGACGCTGGGTGGGAAGGAGGTCGAGTGGGTGGGTGTAGGAGCTTTGGGTATTTACAAGCTAGATCCTTGGGGCTGGCACTCACCTCTAGGTAAACATCGCTATCCGGATTGAAGGTGTCATTAACCCGACGAAATGTGTAATTCACATGCGGTATTGAATGCAGGATTTTAACGAGTATGCTCGGCTGTTCCATTTTTATGGCTCCTTTTGCTCCTCTTGCTGCTGCTGTTGTTGTTGTTGCTGTTGCTCACACAAAGCTAGCACTCGCTCGCTCACTTGCTCTTTCTCTCCCTGTTTCACTCAATCGTATTTCGGCTAGTCGCGTCGTCTTCGTAGTACTGCTTCTTCTTCTGCTTGCTTTTTTTTTGTTTTTTTTTTGGTATGTGCTCCTTTATATTGTTATGCTGCGTATTTGTGTGTGTGTGTGCTGTGGGGTGGCAACGGGCAGCGTAGAAGATGTGGTAAAGCTACTACTGCTGCTGCTGCTGCTGCTGCTGCTGATGCTCCTGCTGCTGCTTTTGACGTCACAACGCCGCGTCTCGTTTCAACGCAAAATTGACTTGAGAGTTTAGCGCATTACACTCGCTGCTGCTAAAGGGAGGGGTAAAAGAAGTTGAGTGGGGGGAGGACTACATTCATATGCTTTACGCACACACACGCACACACACATAGGCACATTAGTGTGCGCAGGGTGCGAGCAAGAGAGATAGAGGAAGAGAGCGGCTGCTGCGGCGGGGGTGTTAATGCGTGCGCTTCACACGCTGTGCCAAATTCCAAATTCCCAAACGCATGCTCTCTCGCTCACCCGCTCCCTCTGTCTCTGTCTCTCCACTTTGCCTCTGCCTAGACACAAAAACGTTCTCTCATACGCTCGCGCGCTCTTTGTTCTCTATTTCGTTTGTTTCCATGTCCTGTGCCACAGCGTGCGTGCCTCGCTTGGCTTATGTGTGTGTGTGTGTGTGTGTGTGAGCGTTGCCTGCGCCAAATTTTCACTTTCACTTTTCACACACCCAAAAAAAAAAAACAACATAGAAAAAGAAATTGAAACATACAAAAAAAAAGGACATAAATTCTATGCACAAACTGTCGCCATATAACGGCATATATGCACCCTTGCTAACGGCACTTTGCTAAATTGCCAAGCACAACAATTTTTGTTTTGATTTCAATTGCCGCATTCGCCGCTTGCTGTGTCGCTCGCACTCCAAAAAAAAACGACAAATTGTACCAAAAAAAATTGCACACAATTTGATAAAAAAAAAAATTGCTGCTTATCGCGGCAATTTATTTAAATTGATTGTTTATAAAAAAATTATACACAATTAATTCGATTGTCGTGGCTATTATAATTATTTCTATAATTATAATTGTTGTTGTTGCACTACGCGCTGTACATTGATTAAGTTTTGTGTATTTTCGGTGTTTTTTTTTTTGGGTCTTTTTTAGTTTTGCCGACGCACGTTAAACACGGCCACGGGGCGTTGTTTCATTTACCGTTTCGTTTCGTTTCGCAAGTAGCGTTGTTGCCGCGACAGCGGTCCAAATGCGAATGAATCGAAAAACCTGCGCAACGTTTTCGGCTGCCTGCAAAAGCAGCAAGAAAATGAACGAACGAAACAGGCGCAGCACGCACCGAAGCCCGAATGCCCTGCGGCCTGAAACAAATGCCATTAAATCTAGCCAATTCTTATTAGGTGGATTTGAAAATTGATACAGAACTTATAATGCTGAGATGAGTGGCGCAATTAATACAATAATTAAGTTAGCTAACTGCTCTTAGATAAGGGCATCGCTGCGCTCAGCTCGGAAGGTGAACAGGCAGGCAGGCAGGCAGGGTAGGCGGCTGCTGGAATTCAAATGGTAGCTGAGGAACGTAAACAAGTCGGCGCATGATTCATGTCGATAACGATAACTGTCCAAAATATAAATTTAAGTGCAACTGCAAGCAAAAAGATGCTTTTTGGCTGCTGACTTTTCAAGTTTTTTCCCATTTTTTCCATTATTTTTTTTCTGTTATATTAAAAATGTATAATATGTGTGCCACTTTTATCATAGTCAGCGATAAAAACAAGTTTTCCACAACAATAACAACAACTAACGAGAATAACCGCTTTGCTAGTTTCGCTGACTGCAGCTCCGCTCCGGTGACAAACGGAACGTATCCAAGTTTCTGGCCAGGCAGAGCCACCACACACACGCACACACATGCAAGTGTCTATGTATATGCATGTAATCTGAGCAACCTTTAACGCGACAGTAAAAAGTACACATTTATGTCTGAATGAATACAAAAAATATTCTTAGACTGGCGTCAGCCGTTTTTATTGGCCGGCAACTATAGTGAGGAAAATATTAGTAATATTTATTGTTGTTGTTGTTGGTGCAGCGTGTCGGACGATCGGTCGCGGCATATCTGCTTCATGAATCAAAAGGAAGGCGCACGCAAACAGAATGAAAAACTTAGTAGATATAATAAGCAAACAGGGGAGCCACCAATTCCAGCTCAGCTTATCAGGCCCAGCACATGTGAAAAGTAAATAGAGACATAGCGCAAGAGAGAGAGAGGGAGAGGGAAAGAAAAATTCGGAAATTCGGAATGCAATCAAACGTTAAAAAGAACTGGACTTGAACTTGGCTGCGGCTGGGGTTCTACTAACTGTAAAGCGTTTCGAATTGCAAGCAATTGCAGCTATTTATAACGAACAAAATGCACTTTTCAAACAACCAACAGACACACACGCACACAGGCATACACACAGGCTCACACTCATGTATGCATGGAAAGCGACAAACACATTAACTGCATTATTTATGAACTACACTTTTTTATTCAGTTCCGTCGATTTACGTACTTTATGCATAGGCAACACTATTTTTTTTATAGTTTCTAATTTCACGTTTAGTTTTATTTCACATGTTACGTTTAATTTAAAATACGCACTGCTCAACAAACGATTTGGTAGAGACGGCGACTGTCAACACACATATCAGCGACAGTGTGACCGTGCGCTACTAAAATAGAAATACACAAATTTCATACAAGCAGGTCAAAATGGTATCTTTTGTACATGACGAAGTTGAAATACTCTTTCAAATTAAGTTGCCTAACAAAATATGTTCGTTTAGTTAGTTAATAAGATATTTACACAAAATGAAAGCATTTTGTAGGTAATTGTGAAAATAACGTTACAAAAATATTATTTATTTCGAAACATAAATGTAAACATAATGCATATTGACAGTACAATTTTACATTTGCACGCACATTTAAAAAAAATTGACATATACGTTTATTTTTTTTCCCTATCAATTCTTGTGCAGAAATACCTACAAAAAATACTGAACTTGTGAATAAGTTGTCGAGACCTGAAATATACATCATAAAAAAGTTTAAATTCTACCCGCGCAGTGCTTAATATTTGAAACGTAGTAGCTTTGTAGAGGTTTATTTTAATTATTAACTTGTTGCAATAGTGCGAATAAACACTTTAACACTCAGCACATTTGAGAAGTATGTAATAAACAAGAGAAATAACCAATATGTCAGCTGGGCGAGTATGTAGTAAATAATAAAGTAATTTTTTTTTCGGATTCCTTATGTATTGCTAGAGATAACAAAATAATAAATAAAAATGCTTAAGTAATGTTTTGCTTTTCATGAAATCGAAAAACAGCTACATCTATTCGTCTTTATGTGCAATCAATCGATAGACATATCGATAATTGTATCGTGGTATATCTTTAGTCGGTGTTGTATCTTGTGCATCTCTAAATCTCAGTTGTTTTGAAGTTCTTTTATCCAATGGAAGAGGGAATGCTCGGCACTTCGAGCGAATCGCACTTTTTCGAAGGCGTTGAGAAGCTATTGGAGATTTGGTTCGAGGATAGTGCTAAGCTCGATGGCGACTTACGCAACATAACACGCATTGAGTGGGAGAAGCTGCTGTGCCACGTTAAATGTGAAATTATCAGCTTCAAAAAGAACGATTTCATAGATGCCTTTCTGCTAAGCGAGAGCAGCATGTTCGTCTCGAAGCGCCGCTGGATATTGAAGACCTGTGGCACGACGACGCCTTTGAAGTGCCTTGAGCAGCTGCTCGAACTGGCCAAGACGCAGGGCTACACTGTTATCAGCGATATATTCTATTCGCGCAAGAACTTCACCCGTCCCGAGGTACAGAATAGTCCGCATAAAGGCTTCTACGAGGAGGTCACCTATTTGGACACCATATTTCCCGAGGGCCGGTCCTACTGCCTGGGCTCCATCAATCTCGAATGCTGGTATCTCTACACGTTTAGCAGGCCAGACGTTAAAGCACTGCCCGACTTGCTCGTTGCCGAACAGCACAAGCAGAAGGACAATGTGGACGCTGATCCGGATCAGACAATCGAGATACTTATGCAGCATCTCGACAAGGATGTCATGTTGGCCTTCAGCAAGAGTCGCTTCGCCAGTGGGCCCGAGGCGACCACGCATTCGGGCATCGATCAAATACTCCCCGACATGATCATCGACGACTTCCTCTTCGATCCGTGCGGCTACTCGATGAATGGCATCAATGAGCAGGGCGAGTACATGACCATACACATAACGCCCGAGGAGAAATTCTCCTACGTCAGCTTCGAGAGCAATGTGGCCCTCAACAACTATACGAAACTGATCAACCAGGTCGTTCGCACCTTTAAGCCGGGCAAATTCATTGTCACAATCTTCGCGAACAAATCCTCGCTGGCCTACGAGACGATGAAGGAGCTGGAGATCGAATATTCCACCTTGTCCAACTGGCGGCGCACGGACATGCAATGCTGCAACTTCCCATCCTACAACCTGCTATTCGCTCAATATTCGCGTGCCGTGGAGAATTGGACGTAGAACGATTGGCGCAACTCCCAAATTACTGTAAATAAAACTGAGTGTTTTTTTATATCTTGAATTTGTATATCTTAAGCAATATAATACATGAAATTTGTTTTAATATACTTAAACATATGCGTCTCTTTGTTTTAGCTTCGGGAATACCCCTAACAGTTCCACTGAGACTTGACGAACTTTGTTTCCTTGGAAGTTTCACGGATTGCCTTGAAGGCAAGGACAAAGGACTACCCCTGCCCTATAATGACTCCTAAATATAAAGCTTTATCTGTTTAGTTTGCTTTCCCCAACGGATCTACTCCGGATGCTCAAGCAACTTTAAGTTGACCTCAAGAATTGCCACAAAGATTCAAGCAATGCTTTCACATGGCGGAACTCCTGCCTATTATAACTCTAATCCTAGTTGGAACTTGCCAAGTCCCTTATAAATTTTGCTTAAGTTTTATTTCTGCTCTCCTTAGGTATATTTTCCATAGTTCTTCAGCAGATGCTTCAGCCGTGCTCAGTCCGAAATGTATCCGCATCATATTGCCACAAAGATCCTCTAACCATCGCTGGCTGCTGCTAAGCTGCCCCTAGAATTTTCCTTTTAATCTCTGTCCAAGTTCTCTCCATTGGTTCTCCCATCCCTTTGTATAGTAGTTGACAAGATTGGGATTCTGATCTTACGTTTTGGCCTTAAAGAATCGCGCCGTTCTCGCTTGAACCGCTCCAAAGCCCGCGCTGGCCACGCTGATGTGCCGGGCAATCCATGCTGGCAGCTTCTGTTGGATGCGCTCGCTGACGTAGCGCTCGTCCAGCAGATAGACGCAGGCGTAGTCGCGTATGTGTCGCACCGAGCGACCGATGCACTGGTTGACCGCTTTCATGCAGAGATTCTCGTAATATTCGTTGCCAGCGCCGTTGCCCAGCGTCTCATCCAAGTGTCGCATGCGCTCCTTGAGTTCGGGTGACGTGCGATTGGGATACGGCAGACCGACGACAATGACGCCTCGACCCAGTTGATCGGCAAAGTTGAGGCCCTCCGAGAGCTTGCCGCCGACAACGCTCAGCAGCAGAGCGCCGCCCGCTGTCTGATCAATGGCATTGGCATATTGCTGCAGCAGCTGCTCGACTCCAGCTCCTCCAGCCGTTTCACGAAAGATGCGCTTGCGCAGACCAATCCGCTGCAATACGCCGCTCTGCTCCAGATGCTCATAGACCGTGTCCAGGTAGGCGTACGAGGGCAAAAAGCAAACCACGCCCGCTGGCAACACGCCGCAAAGGTTCTGCAGCACCATGCTCAGCTCCTTCAGCTGAAGAGGAAGAAGTTAAGTTAGAATTATAGAGTCGCTTCAATTATGGAGCATATCAAATTGGAACTAATCGATGAAGCCGACAACAATTCCAAACCAATCTTATCCGATTTGAGCATATCTTGCTAATGGTCTTATCAAATCTTTTATAGAGTTCTTAACCCAGTTCGATAATGCCTTTGCACAACTAGTGTGATTCATTGACGCCCCTGTTTCAAGCTCAGTATAGTTTCTGAGAACGAACATATCAATAAGAGGGAGCAGGCAGCACAAGTCTAAGCGAGCTTTCCATGCCCAATCAATCTGGAGGCGCCACTATTCAAAGACGAAGTTTACGGACAGCTCTAGGCACTTCAACCTCGTTTCAACTCAACATTATTGTCATAGTTTGACGTGGAATGAAGCTGGAGCAGAAATCATGATGAAATCCCTGATGGAACTATTATAATTTGATCATTAAACTAAAAGTGGGGGTAGCTGCTAGTCGACTACGCCCGACCAAAGTGCTCCCTGCCTGACTGCCCCTTGATTAGGCTGACAAGTGAAGATAGATAGATTAACATGTATCCATATCTATATATATAGATGCATATACAGATATACCATACCATGGCAGGGCTGGTACGTTGGGCATAGCTGAAACAGAGCCTGGCGCCCGTTGGTCCCGTGGGCAGGATGAATGGCAGCACAGCATCCGCTGGCACCACATGGTCATAGAAACGCTCGACCACGCGCTCCGGACACTGGGCAAACAGCTGTTCCGTCAGTTCCTGGGTGGGTCGCATGGTGCCGCCTGCTATGATGAGCTGCAAGGCCAATGGCAAAGGATTGAGATTGGATTAAGATGAAGACAGAGAACAGCTACTCACAGCGCGCGCCTCTTTGACAATGTCCGCAAAATGTTCGGCATGATTGAGTAGCAAATACTTGAGTGTGGAAGTCTCTGGATTGAGCAGCACGCGGCCATCGGCGGCATTGCTGGTGAGCGTCTGCAGAAATGCGATCAGCGGCCGGAAGGGCGAGGGCATAGCTGGGGTGGCAGCTGGAGGCGCCGGCTGTGACTGTTGTTTCGATTTTTCAGCCGCCTTTTGCTCCGTTTGTTGCTTGCGTTGGCCCAGCGTCTGGGTCTGCTGCTCATGCTGAGCGGCCAGGCGTTGGAGCAGCTGCTGCGTGGGCGGCTGACGGTTCTCGCTGGGCTGCGGCTCGCGCTGCAGCTGCCGTCCAAAGCTTTGCATCTTCTGGGCTAGGCGCGTCCGTGCACAGAACTCCAGTAGCGCATGCAGGTCAATATTAAAGAAGTCGCCCTCGGCGCTCAGCTCGTAGGTGCGCAGCATGCGCGGCTCTCCCTTCGCCGCGAGCAGCTGCAGCAGCCGGCGCACGACATAGAGCAGCTGATTGATACGCAACAGATTGCCGCTGCTCAGGCGCCGAGCATAGCGCTGCTTGTAGCCCGTCAGCTGCTGCTTGGCCAGCTGCAGCTGGGCAAGATTCAGTTCGCTGCTGTGCAGCTGGGCAATGGTGTCCAGCAGGTTGTGCGCCTCGTCCACAATGACAATGGCGCCGCGTAGATCGATGCCCAGCTGCTGGCGTGCGCTGCGCTGCAGCAGCAATGGATACGGTAGCAGCAGCAGTTGTGCCTGGGACTGGGCGGCACGTGTGGCATAGTAGGGGCAGGCGCCACAGGCGGCACCCTCAACGACCAGTTCTTCTATGTCCAGCGGCTCGCAAAGCGCCGCATCGCTAAGCCTTTGCAGCTGGGCGGAGCTCTTGTAGACGCAGCTGCTGAGCGCCTGTCGCGACTTGGAGCTGGACTTAGCTTGCGCCATGTCCAGGCAGCGTTCGTTGATGAGCGCTATGTTGGGCAGCCTGCGCACCTGCGCATTGATGCACAACTGCTGCCGTGAGCCGAGCGCAATGCAGCGCACATTTTGTCCATGCGGCGTCTTACGCAGCTCGGCCACAATCTGCGCCAGCTGCGAGTGCGTGCGACTGCAGAAAAAGATTTGTACATCACGGAAACGTTCCGATTGTGGCTCTGCCAGCTGCTCCTCTTGGGCACCCTCTACGTCCTCCAGCTCGTCATCTGAGTGGAGCTCCTCCTTATCGACTGGAGCTTCCTTAGCTGCCAACAGGTCGCTCGCTCGTCTTGCCGGTCTCTGCTGCTGCTGTTGCTGCCTTTTGCGTAGCTTGATCTGCTCCAGTTCTTGTTCTCTTTGCTGCAGCAGATCGCGGAGACGTTGGAGATGTTCTAGCTCCTGGCGTTGCGTCCGTGTCTTGCCTTGCGCTGTTATCCAATCCTCGGCCTGCGCACTGTCCATTTGCAGCTTTTTCAGTTGTGACTCTACTTGGTAAATACGCTGCAACAGCTCTGTACGCACCAGTTGTTCGTGCTGGTGCAGCCAGGTGAGTGCGCCACAGGTGAGCGTCAGAGATTTGCCGGTACCTGTGGGACTTTCGAAAATTCCAATTTGTTTGTGCTCGAGCACCTGGAAGAGTTGCTGCATCAGTTGCTCCTGTATGTCGTATGGTGTGTACGGAAATCCAAAATCCTGTGCCGCTGGCGTCGACAGCGCTTTGTGCGGAGAATACATGATTACAGCAGGCAGCACAAATTAAACTAATTTATTCACTCTCATCGGCTTTCGTGGCGCCAAATTCGTAGGCGTTGTTTACCGACGAGCAATTTTGCGTTGGCTGTGCGCATTTTTTGACTCACTTGAAGTTGGCTGCATGACACGCGCGCTGCTATTTCTGACAGTCTGGCAGCTCATTGATTTGCGCATTTATTTGAAATTAAAATAATCTATTGTCTAACTTTAAATAATATACTAATTTCTGCATTTTTACAATAAATTCTTGAGCATTATTCTATAATGGGTAACTTTCAAGTGCTTCATATTGATTGGGTGCATTTTGCGCCAATTTGTGCTTAGGTGCATGTCGTATGCTTTTGTATTTGACAGTCTGGCAGCTCTTTCATTTGAAATGAAACATTTTCTAATGGCGCAAATTAAAACAACGTTACATCTTATATTGTAGCATCAATTTTTGAAATGTGTATAGCGCATACAACATCAATTTGTGATGCACGCAATGATAACTGTATAAAGCTTTGAGTTAACATGAACATTGCTGCATGGCGAGTGCGCCTGCATCTGGCAGTGTGGCAACTCACTTATTTGTGCATTTTTTCAAATTGAAAAAATTACAAATTGCGTAAATTACAAAAATAGATTGTGAATAAAGCTAAAATAGAAATACTAAAAGCGAAATCAATCATATATGCACAAACATCAACCGCAACAACATGACTAATCAACAATGCTCCGTTATGTAAATACCTGATTTTTTAATGTTATTTTCATACATTCGTGTTGTGAATTTGTGTTTTGTTTTCTGTTTCTGTTGTGCTCTCGGGGTCTGCTGCATTCGCTTAGTAATGGCCGAAAGAAGCAGCGAAACTTGATTGATTGCGAATTAGTCATGTGCAGTATTAAAGCGTTTCTAGATACTAAATCTTTTGTAAGCCGCGCATATTCCTCTATGCGTCAGCCGAGCCTCGGCCCAAGCCGTGGGACGCGCCTCGCAAACAAAATGGCGGCGGCAGCAGCAGTAGCTTAGGTTAGCTTTGACCTGCGGCCAGATTGATTTAAATATGTGTTTGGAATTGAATTTGTATTGTGATTTTCTTTTGGCTAATAATATATGATTGGATGTTGTGGGCGTTGCGGCCGCACAGTGGCGCAAAATCAATTTGCGTTTCGCGATTGCCGGCAAACATTACTCATACGCAACGCTGGCCAATGCTGACCTTAGCCAACGGCCGACACTCGCGCAGCGGCTGCACCTTGATTGACTGACTGATAGAATGCCACAATAATCATATTAATAATGCCAATGATTGACGGCCAAAGTGCGCAAATTGCGCATTCGTTTTTGTCAAACAACCAACAAACAACAAACAAACAACAAGCAACCTGCAACCAGCATCTTGCATCTCAGCTGCGATTCATCCCGTCACCTGCCACCAGCCACCAGCCTCGCCTCCTAATCCACATGGCCGTCACATCCCATTTGCTGCGACAAATGTTGCAATGCCTCAGCTAATGCCGCGTCATGCACCTGAACTTGCTGCCATAACAAATATATGTATATATATATATATATATATATAGATGTGTGCATGTGTGTGCGCTGCATATTATTGCAGCTTGCGTTAAATAAATGCATTTAGTACATTATGCATAATCAGAGTGCGTATCAGGGATGCAAACATAACCTAAATAACTTGTTGCCAGACTCTTTAAATACGACACTGAACTGAATTCGCGTCGATCTGAATAATTTTACATTATGTAGAGCTCATAATTGGCAGCTTAGCTGGGGAGCGTATTGTGCTGTGCGCAGTGCTAACTGTGTTAACGGAACAACTGTTGGACGGCGTGGCCAGACAGTATGAAGAATATAATCTATTCTGCCGTCTATCTGTTGGTTCTTTGTAAAGGAACCACTAGGAGCAGGAGACTAGAGCTGAAACCAGTTGCAGTTTAAGTTTCAATTAATCGATAGCTTCTATCGATTTAAGTCGTTATCAATTTATACGTTAAAGGCATAGATATGCCGAATTGAGCATATAAATATTATAATATAGGTATATACAAGTATATTATATATATAAATATATATATATACGATAATAACTGTTATAAGTCGATAATTTTTTTATATAATAAATAGCTTAATTTTATTTATTGTTTTTTATCTTTTTTATTCATAATTTTTTTTTATTTATTTGTATTTTTTTTTATTTTAATGTTTTATATTTTATATTTTTTATTTTATTCTTTATATACTTTTCTATTTTATTTTATTTCTCTTTTCATTCTATTGAAAATGAAAGCCAAGGCTTGGAGACTCGCTGGAATGTGCTTGGGCATGCGGCAAATACATATGCTAGATAGTGGCGTGCCACGCCCATGCGCCCACATGTGTCGACCTTCGTGAGCACAGCGCGGCCCAGCAGACGGTGAGTCGACCGTTTGGCGATCAGAGTGGACAGTGCTTGGCTTGTCGCCCCTTCGGTTGCCTGGCGCATGTTAATCTCGAGCCTTTCCGCAGCGCAAGACAAAGCCCATTTATCAACCTGGCTGCACTTGTGTTGGTTGTCATACGCGAGAGCGAGAGCGAGAGCTGTGGCATAATTGTTCACTTAACGCACAGCTAAAAATACACCAGTTGCAAATGTGTGTGTGTGTGTGTGTGTGTGTGTGTGGGTGGGTGTGTGTGTCTAGCTTGTCACTGTGATTGCTAATAGTACGTTCAATGATAATGCGTTTTGTTATTTATGTGCGGCAATTTGATACGATTAAAGACTCTAATTTATCATATACTTTGACTCGCTCGACCGTGTTGGACAGTGTAACCATTCTTTGGCACATGCTTATCGCATCAGACGCACACAGAGAGATTTCGAAAGCAAAACAAGTGAAATCTATAATCACGCCCAGAGCCGCACCTCCCATCGCCCCAAAACTCCCCCAGCTGATCCTTCCATTTCCTGCGCCTAATCTAGTCTACGTTAGTTGCTTTCCCACTTTAGGAAGATTCGATTACGTTTTTCAAATGGGCTGTGGGATTGCGAGAGGGGGTAAAAAATTGTTTTGGTCGTGGCTATACACACTCCAAAGTTCTACTCGCTATACCAGATGTAGTATTTCTCGAAAATCCTAATACTTTATTTATTAATGCTAAGCTGAGTGAATGAACGGACGGACGGATGAATGGATGAACGGACGAACGGAGGGATGGGCGAATGAACGGACAAATGGATGAACGGACGGACGGATGAACAGACGGCCAATATAATAAAGTTTCTTCCAGATGCTAGTTTCAATTCAAGTCTCTTCTATATCGAATAGGACTCAAAATCGATTAGTACTTAGACTAAAGACTGTAAAGACTGTAGCAAGTTGGTCAGATATATAGATACAATAAATACTACAGGCGCTATCTATACATAAAAAAGTATATATTCTAAAGTCCAAGACCTGTATAGCCTATAGACCAGTGCAACTATGATTATGGGCTGAACTGAAAGATTACATACATACATATATGTAGCTAAGTTCAGCTGATGCTAAAGAATGGTTCTATCGATCATTTTTAGTGTTGGAAAACATGTGATAATTTTATGAATATGGATCACTAAATTCCGTAGTATTTCCGACTTGATCAAACAACAAATATGCCAGCTGTCTCAAGGCTCATTTTTAACTAGGATTGACACTCCAGGCAGTGTTGGAAAACGTGCAGTTGCACATCAGATATTATGATCATCGCTCATTGGCTATACGCGTGAGAGGCTCACCCAGTCTTCTGGCATTTTCACTTCAATCTGTCAAGAAATTGGCGCTTTTCAGTGTTGTAAAATGCGCAACAAATAACGCGCGATGAGCGAACGCATTAGCGAATGAATAATGTCTCTGTGTCACTCGCTGCACTCGCACGATTTGCATATTGAAGGAGTTAACATGTTTCTATTTATTACTGTTATTGACATTCAATTGGCAATTAGGCATTAATCATGGCTAAAGGGTGGCGGACGCGACGGGGGCTGCTCTATAGCGAAAGAGGGTAGCGGAGGGTAGAGGGTGGGTGGGCAGACAGTCAGCGTATTAATCATCTAAGCGCCAAAAGCGGCGCGCAAGCCTTCGTCTTCGACTTATTCATAGAGAATAGGATGGGAGAACGAGGCGCAGAGCGAGAGATAGTGTTAAAAAGAACTGGTATACAAAAGTTGTTGCTGCAGCGAGAGCGAGAGAGGGGGACAGAGGGAGAGCAGCTGTCACACTAAAGCCACAGAGAGAGCGATAGAGCTTGATCGAGTCAGAGAGAGAGAGAGAGAGAGAGAGAGAGAGATTGAAGCCTGAGAGCTTAGAACTTGACACACTAAAGCCACAGCGAGGGAGAGAGGGAGAGCTTGATCGAGTCAGGAGAGAGAGAGGGAGAATGAAGCATGAGAGCTTAGAACCTGACACACTAAAGCCGTAGCTGCCATTGCTGCTGCTTCGTTTGCTCCACTGTCCCAATGTGACTGAAGCCGTCGTCGTCGTCGTCTTTTGCATAATAACATGATGTCATAGTCTTTTTATATGCATGTCCGTCCGCCCATTCTTAGGCCCGCTCCCCCACCCAATTGAGCTGCCAGATGTTGTCGACGCCGGTCCAATCGCCGGCGGGCAGCAATCAGCGCTTGACGCTCGGCAGCCAGTTTGTCCCACGCCCACGCCGCGACACGCGCCAAGAACGAAAATAATTGAGTCGAATCAATTGAGGCAGGCAGCAGGCAGGCAGCAGCAGCAGCAGCAATTGCTGTAGCTTCTGCTATGAGTAAGACGTGGACAGTGTTGGACAGCCAGCAGCAACAGCAACTCATGTGTGTGCAGCTGCCGCTGCTGCTGCTGCTCGAGCTCGTTTTCACAGAAGCCAGCTTGCTAATGATATGTAGGACAGTGTTGGACAGTAGCCAAAACAGGGTAGTGTTGGCTGTTGAGCGGGCGGCTTGCTTTAACGATGCTTAGGCGGGCTATAGCTAAGCAAGGGATTGGAGCAGTAATAAAGCAGTGTTGGTTAACACAGTCAGATACTTAAGATTGTTTCTTAGAAGCAGCTCAAGTAATTTGACAGTGTTGATAAACAGCTTGTAGGCACAATAGCGCAGCCTTGGCTTACAGCTTGCCAGTGTTGAGCAACGGCAGTAGCTAACAGCTATTGTTGTCGTTGCTTCACTGAAACTTTGTCAGTGTTGGACAGACGCCTGTTGTGCCAGAAAGAGCAGTGTTGGCTAACAAAATTAACCTACCTAGCTTCACTTCACTTCTTATAACATTCAAACAGCAGTGTTGGTTAACACACATATTTTGTTTGTTTTCATAAGCAAACTTCCGCTTCACATTCTCAACTTTAGATCAGATTTAGGCGTCTCGGACTTGGCTCTGCCCTTGAATAACTCAAAGCCTCCATGTGGTATAGTATGCCATGAACACTTGCTCCTGCCGACCTGAAATTCCCACCCATTTCTCACTCGAATCCAACCATTTGAAAGCACATTTTGTATACGTTTTTGATTTCGAAGCAGAACATTTATTTTTACATTTTTGCTTTTGTTTTGTTTAATTTTTTGTTTGTTTTTTTTTAAATTTTTTTTTAGTTTTTTTTTAGTTTTTTATAATTTGTTTGTTGTTTGATTTTTAATGAAAAAATTATGCCATTTGTTGACTTTTTATGTTCAATTATATATAATATATATATATATATATATATATATATATATATATATAATATAATATAATATATATATATATATATATTTATATATAAATAAAAAAAAAACAAATATTAGTTAGTTTATAATTTTATATTTAGTATTAGCTGCTTAAAAATATTTAAAAAAATTGTGTTTTTAAATAAAATTTAAAATGTTTGCATTCGTTTTTTTCACATTTTTGTTGACGTTTTTTGTTTTGTTTTTAATTTATATTTTTTAAGTAGCATAATAAATTACATATGACAAATATTAAAAACATTTTTTCTCTTTTTTTACTTATAGTGTTCATCTTAGAAAGCATTAAAACAGTTAGCTGTGTGTGTGCGTGTGTGTGTGTGTCTGTCTGTGTCTGAGTGTGTGTGCGTGTGTGTGCGTGTGAGTGTAGCTGTCGTTGTTTTGGCTTTTGAGTTCGATTTGATTTGATTTGATTCCATTTATCGTGTGCCTCTCTTTTGTGCTTTAAATATTTATTTATATATATAAAAAATAATAATAATAAAAATAAAATAAAACAGAAATATATTAAAATTAGTTTTATAATTCATTTTAACAATTGCATTTTCCTTTCTTTTTTTATTTTATTTTTATAACAAGTTAAACAAAAATAAAAACAAATATATAGAAAAAATGTAAATAGTTAATATTAAAAAAAAAAGATATATATATATATATAGGTGTATATATATATATATATATATATATATTTATTTTATTTGTAGATATTAAAAGTATTTGAATTAATTTAATTACAAATTACAAATTGCTTGCTCTGAACTTAATTATTATATATATATATTTCATGTATATATATATATATATAACTGAATTATATGAAATATTAATTTGCATATATTTTTGCACTAGTCAAAAATATATAAATAATACTTTTTTTACTCTTCAAATTTTTAGTTGATTTTTTTTTGTTTTTAGCACAGTTTATGGGAGTTTTTTTTGTTTTTTATATTTTATTTGTTGTTGTTGCTTTCGGAAAGAACAATCTATATACACGCACATACTATAGAATATATATATAATTAATTTTCTTCTTTTTGTTATTTTTTTTAGATAATTTAATGGGCTTTACGTGTCTGAAGCTGAAGTTTTTTGCGCTCGTCTTTCAGTTTAAATCTATTTTGTTTAACATTTTTATATATATTTGTTTGTATATATGTTTTATATAACGTTTCACAGGTACTTCGTAGCGCATTTGTTTGCTCTGGCTAACAGCAAATTGTCGTTAGTTTCTTTTTATTGTTTATTAACAAATTGTAAAACTAAAACTAAAGCTAAAATGAGAGAGGGTGGGGGCGGGAGGGGGAGTAGGAGAGGGGGACAGACAGTGAGAGCGAGGGAGAAAAACTGTTTGATGCGCCACTACTAGCCAAAAGAATGAGCGAGAGAGAGAGAGATAGAGGGTTAGAAAGAGAAAGAGGGAGAGAGAGAGCTATTTAAACTCTGCTGCTTAATATGCTTGAGGTGTCTTGAGAGTGAGAGAGAGAGAAGTTTAGCTAGGTAGAGGGTAGCACAAGAGGAGTTGGAAGACATATAAGTCAACCAAGGGAAAGAGAGAGGGAGAGAGAGATAGGGAGTTAGTTGAAGTAGCTTCTTCTTGTTGTTGGTCTCAGCTTAGCTTGAGGAATTGTAAGAGCGAGAGGAAAAGTGAGCGAAGACATGAAAAACAAAATGTTTAGAGACTGACTGAGTGGGTGAGTGTGCGATAGAGAGAGAGGGTGTTAGTTGTTGCTATTCTTTTTCTCAGATGATGTTCGTTGCGTTGTTTTTTTCGTTTTTATGATCGATGATTATTTAAATTGTAACTTGAACTTGAACTTTTGGGCGCAAAAAACTTGCCGCTTGAGACACGTGAAAATTTGCACAGTTATGTGTGAGAGGTATTTCTCATATTTTTGTTTTCATCCAATATATATATATATATTATTTTATTTTATTTTTGCCAAATTGTGAACTTTAGATTAAACATTGATTGCAATTTTTACATTTACATTTAACATTCAAGAGAACAAATAAATGAAATAAATTAGACACAAACTTGACCTGAGCTCTTAGATTTTTCTTTGTTTTTCTTTTACTTATTTTTCTTTTTTTTATTATTTGGAAGCTGCACGTTTAATATCATATGAATATATGCATATATATATAGATATATACAGATTGTTTTCTTTTTTCTTTTTGTCTATATGCATATCAAATTCTAGTTAGATTTCTTTCTCTTTAGTTTCACAAGCAATTACAGGGTATATATATATATATATAGTTTATATGGTAGACATCGTACAACTACAAAAGCCGTGCTCCACTAAATGCTATATATATAGTTTTATCTTTCATTTGATTTCATTCATAAATAGTTTGTAAATATTAAATCTTTAGTACAAATCGAGGCAATTTTTCTTATTCTGTTTTCAAGTAAAAAAAAAATGTATACACGCATATATATATATATGCATATATATATATATATTTTTTTTTTTTTGTTTATATATATATATATTTATATATATATATATATGTTTGAAAAGCACTTGATGATCTCTTTCGGTTAATGTTTTAGGCCACTTTTTGGTGTTCACAGCTGTTTATACTTCGAATCTAGAATGCATAAACCTTTTTGTTGTTGTTGTTTTTTTTTCTTTTAAATTATTATTTGCATATTTTTTTATTTTTAGATTTTTTATTGGTTGTTTTTTTTTTTTTGTATTTCTTACACACACATTTATATAAAGTTGTATATAGTTAGGTATATATATATATGAGTTCTGTCAAGCAACACACAATACACAAATATTTGTTGATTTCTTTTTGAATTTTGTTTTTTTTTTTTGTAAATATTTTTTATTATATTTGTTCTCTCATTAAGTTTAATAAGGCGCTAGAATTTTGTATTTTTACATTTAAAAAAAATGTTTGCAGTTTATATAAATTTTTTTCGTTTTTTTTTCTTTTAAGAGCACATTTTAGTTTCGCAATAAACACTTAACAAACTTAAAAACTAGTTTTTATTTTTTATCATATATATATATATATATATAAATTTATTTTTTAGTTTTACAGCGAATTCTGTGTGTGTTTTTTTAAGGCAACATCTTGCAAGCTTTTTTAAACAACTCACATTTAAAAAGAGAAGAAAAAGTTACACAGTTTTTAATTTAAATTTTTTAGTTTTTAGTTTTTAGTGTTTTTCTGTTTTGTTTTTTTTTTTTAATATATCACTGATTAAGCCTAGTTTTAGACAAAAAAAAAAAATATATAATAAAATATCAAACGTCATCATATCGCAATTTGTTTTTTTTTTTTCAATTTTTTATGCTTAACTTAAATTATTTTGTTTTTTTTTTTTTAATTTTAATTTGCTGTGTGCGGGGCGGGGAGGGGGCTGGTTTAGAAATTAAAATTAATAATTACTGATGCGGCTGTGACTGCCAACAAATTGCCTGTTGCACGGAATGTTATCGATAACACATCTACATACACATAATATACACGAACATATCGATATCGCCTTCAAGGTTATGTACAATTTCGACTTACAAATCTAGGCCATAAAAAAAAAAAAAATAATGTTTATATATAAAATAAAATAAAAAAAATTCCTTTTTTTTATTATCATAATTGTATAAGTAATGTGTTTATAAAGAACAGTTAGCAATTAATGTTTAAAGTTGTTGCTTTTTATGAGGTAGTCAAGCCACACACACACACACACGCGCACACACACACACACACACACACGCGGCGAGAGCAGTGGGGCGTGGCGTGCAGAGGCGGGGCAGGAGTTGCTTTTTATGATAAGAGTTGTATTCGAGCAGGTTAAGAGGGGAAGGGGTAGGGTCTGGGGGCTGCAGCTGTTGTTGTTGTTGGAAGAACTTGGATATTTTGGGTGTGCGTGTGTGAGTGTGTGTGAGTGTGTGGGCTGTCTGTCTGCAGTGTGCGCATGTCAGGCTAACAGGCGAGGCTTTAGCTGCACTCACACACACACACACACACACGCACACACACAGGCATGCCAGCTAGGTGTGTGTGTGCTGCTTCTAGCACCAATAGTCGACATGCGTCCAAGCCTGTTCCTGCTGCTGCAGCTCGTCCTCTGCTGCCTGCTGCTGCTGTTGCTGCTGCTGCTGGAGCAACTGTTGTTGCTGCCGTTGCTGCTGCTGCTGCTGTTGCCCATCCAGCTGCAGCTCCTGATCGTACGCCAGCAACAGCTCATGATCGGCAGCCTGTTGGGCCCGATCTCACGCCAGGCAACCGCCATTGGTCATGAAATTGGCGGAGCCCGTATCCAAGTCAACGAAGTCAACTTCGTCGTCCGGCAGATGCGAGAGCAGATCGCTGGGGAACGCGCTGTTCTTCATGACCAGAAACTGCTCGTCCTCGTAGCAGGGCGTCATGATGCCGCCGACGGCATGCGGCAGGCCATTGTGAAAGTCCATCAGATGGTGATTGTTGTTGTTGTGGGCGGCCAGGCTGGCCACGCTGGTCATGTTGTTCAGGCTCGTGGGATGGACGCTGACCGCGTGCTTGATGTCCGGAAAGCCGTCCGGCTCGAACAGGAAGCGCTGGGCGCTCAGCGCCGTGATGTAGGGACCCTGCGAGTCAATTAGCTCATTCTTCACGAATTCTATGGCGCTGGTGGGCGTGGTCGCGGGCGGCAGCGTTGTGACGGCTGCTGCTGCTGTGCTGTTGTTGTTGCTGTTGTTGTTGTTGCTGCTGTTGCTGTTGTTGTTATTGTTGTTGTTGTTGTTGTTGTTGTTGCTGTTGCTGCTCAGACTGCTATTGCTGCTGCTGCTGTTGGTGGGCGTGGTGATGGCTACGGCCACGGCGGACAGGCCCAGGCCCAAACTGAGGCCCTCACAATTGGGCACATAGTCCGAGACCTGCTGGCTGACCACCAGGCTATCGGCATTGCTGCTGCTGTTGCTGGCGGGATTGAGTGAGACTTGCTGCTGCTGCTGCTGCTGCGGCTGCTGGGGCAGGCAGAGCGCCTCTTGCGTGGGTGAGCTTAGGTAGCCAGCATGCTCGAACTCCTGCGGCGAGGGCGAGGGCTTGCAATAGCCGTTCGGCAATTGCTGCTGCTGCTGCTGCTGCTGCTGCAACTGCTGCGCCTGTGCAGCAGCTACTGCGGCCATAGCCGCTGGCGTTTTGCTGCCAAAATTGAACGTAGACATGGATGGTATGCTCTGCATGCGCTGCTGCTGCTGCTGCTGCTGCTGCTGTTGCTGCTGTTGCTGCTGCTGCTGCTGGGTGGGCGTGTTGGCCGTGCTGCTGCTGCTCGCATCGCCATTGAGCAGGCCATCCAGCTTCAGTTCGGCGAGATACTTGTAGGCCGGCGATTGCAGCAGCTTGGTGGGCAGCTGGCAGCCGCCGCGCTTGACGCAGCCCGGCGTATGATCGCGCAGCATCTCGAGCAGGCGCTGGCGGTCCGTTTCGAGGATGCGCACCTGATTCTTCAGCTCAACGTTTTGGGTGTCCAGCACCTCGGACTCTTTGATCAGGTTTTGGGTGCGTTCGCGCTTCTTCATGCGGCATTTGGTGGCGGCGATTTTGTTGCGCTCGCGTCGTCGTCGCCGACGATCCTCGTCCTCGGGCGTTAGGCCCTTCGGCACGGACTTTGTTTCGCTGTCCTCATCGCTCGACTCCTCGCAGTCTTCGTCGCGGCGCGAGCACTTCGAGTTGGGCTGCTCTGAGCCGGAGCTGGAGTCACAGGTGGACAGTTTGCGTTTGCTTTGAATGGACAGCTTCAGGCCCGCTTTGATCAGCTGCGAACAGGTCTACAAAAGACACAGAGAGAGAGAGAGAGAGGGAGAGAGGGAGAGAGAGACGCGATTAGTCAAGGTCCTTCAAAAGTTGTTTGTCACCAATAGCCAATTTGGCCGCTGCCTCCCATGCGGCATGTTGCACAAGTCAAGTCTTGCCAGCAGCCAGCTACGAGTAGTTGTTTGCGCCGCTCAACTCCAATTCGGGAAATGACGTGCTGACATTTCGACTGACCCATTTGGCCAACGAACTAACCAAGTTCAACCAGATCTCACTCGAGAGATCGGGCTGCCCCCTCCTTCTGCGGCTCTTCTACTCGCATGACAAATCAAAAAAATGTTTTTTTTTTTTTTTGCGCATTCCTGGGCTGGGCCAGGGTTTTGGGTTTTTGGGTTTTCGCCAGATTATCTTTGCGGCATTTGTTTTGTTTACTTTTGTGATTTACTTGCGGCTGCTCGCGCATAAATTTATAAATATTAAAGTGAAAGATAGAAATCGCGTGGCCACGCCCTGTGGAATGCGGGAGGGGCCAGCGGGGGCTCAGGACAATGCAACTGCAACAAGTTGCCGCTCGCCTTGCCCTTGCTCTGGCCATTCAGAGGTGGGTGGGCGACGTGTCAGCGCCTTTTATGGAACTCAAGGGGTAAAAAGCAGCGAGCAACAGATGGTCATCACGTCGACACGCTGTCAACTTTCATTTACAAGGAAAAGGGCCGCGCAGCTGCTCGCGCTTGACTGACAACTTGAAAGGGAAGATTGAAGCGCAATTGAAGTGATATTGAAAGCGGCGATGCACATTGAAAGCATTCAACGACGAAAGGTAACACCACATCAAATAAATATATAGAAATTTTCATCAACCTTCATCAAATTGAATCATAAATATTGAAATTGAAATTGAAATTGAAAAGGAAAATAAAAATGATCAGAGACAACCATTGAAGAGCTGCAGTCAGCAGAAATTGAAGATAAAGCTGAACATGTCTTAGGAAATCTGATGAGATTCTAAAACACATTCTACCGATCAATCTGCATTGATTGAAACAGATTGAAAGCTAAGCTAATGGCAAATTGAAACAGAAAAAAGGAGAGAGATCAAATCAATTTAAATAGAACAAAACGATTTTAGAATTGAATTGAAACGCTGATTCAATATACTGATTGAAAGAAATGATTGAAGGCACTGATTGAAGGCGCTGATTGAAAGCATTGATTCAATGAAGTGCTTCATTGTGCTGCTTGAAAGAATTGATTGACGGCTTTGATGGATGGCACTGATTGAAGGCGCTGATTGAATGAATTGATTGAAAGAACTGATTGAGGGCACTGATTGAAGGCGCTGATTGAATGAATTGATTGAAAGAACTGATGGAGGGTACTGATTGAAAGCGCTGAGTAAATGAACTGATTGAATGAGCTGATTGAAAGAATTGATTGTTAGCGCTAACTAAAGGCGCTGAATGAAGTCTTTGATTGAAGACGTTGCTTGAAAGCACTGATTGAATGCATTGATTGAAGACACTGATTGAAAGCGCTGATTGAAGACGCACATTTGCATAGCTGTTGCGCAGTCTTGCGTTTCAATTCGTAGCTTCGAGTCGCCTTCTCGTTTGCTGTCAGGGCCCCGGCCTTTTAGGCAGCCCACTTCAATCTGCTGCTCAATGACAGCTCATTCAAGTGTCAGACAAGCCCCGACTATCTCTGGCTGCCCATCATTATCGCCGCGATTATCATCAGCTTGAGTTTTGCGCTTTTTATTTGTTGTCTGCTTGAGAAATTGTTCAGATGCCACTGTCGAGGCGACAGGCCCAGCCGTAACCCCCACTCCCCGCACTCCCACGGCTGCCCCCTCTGCCCTAGGCACAGCCCAGCCCCTTTTTGGCCAGCATTGTTTCATTTACATTTTAGGCACGCTGCCTTTTTATTTATTGACCCAAAAACCAGATAAATAAATTTTATTTCAACCAAAAAAAGCAAAAACAGAGTGGAAAATATCAAAATAATCGCATGCGCCAATGGCTGCGACGCCGACGTCGACTGCGACTGCGACTGCTACTGTGAATGCGAATGCTACAACTGTGAATGCGACTCCAACTGCCAGCAGTGGACCGCCCGACGACCATATGGTCAAAAAAAATAAGATTTCTCGACTTGGCAGACTTCTCGAAAATTGGTGCGTTTTCGTCCTGTTGTTGTGCAACTCTCTATGCGAGCGGGTGTGTGTGTGTGAGTGTGTGTGTGTGTGTGTGTCTGCTAGTTGTCAGGGCATTCCAAATGGTCTGCGTGTGGGGCCAGAGTCGGTAATTGGAGCAGCGCAGCAACTGAGCTGGCTGGGTGGAAGCAATGGGAAATGCAATTTCAAATATTCCACAAATATGTACAGTTAGATATATGTATATAGATAGATATATAGATATAGGCATATTTATTTATCCAGCTATCCATATATATCTACATCCAGATATGAGCTATGAGATTGAACAGCAGCAGTTGAATGGAAATTCTTGTGGGCCAAGCACTGAGCAGTAAAACTTGAATGAAGCAAGCAGAAATCTGAAGATAAACCTGCTCTTAAATGGTACTATGCTGTTCAGCTGTCTAGAAACACTTGAGAGTGTGCTAAGAAGCAGATTTAGAAGAGACGCGCAGATAGAACGCGAGACTACAACGTTTGATAGAAAGTGAGGAGAAGGAAAAGGAGCTAAGAAAGGAAGGTAAAGTGCAGAGCGGGCAGGAAAAGAAAGGAAAAAGAGAGAAAAGGAAAAGGCAAGGAATAATAATAAGAGGAGGATTGGAAGAGGAAAAAATAGAAGGAAGTTGAAGAGAATCGAAATGGAAGAGAAAAGAAGAGAAATGAAGCAAAGAAAGCAAAGTACTGAAGACAGGAAAAAAGAGGAAAGAGAAGATGTAAAACTGAAAGAAAAAGAATGACAGAAAAGAAGGAAAGGCAAAAAAGGAAAACGAAACAAAATGGAGAGAGAAACGAAGGAAAGGAGTGACAAAGAAAAGAACGAAAAGACAAGAGAATAGCAAGAAAAGTAAAGAGGAGAAAGAGCAAATGAAAGCAAACGAGAAAAGAATGAACAGAACATGAAGAGGGAAAGGAAAGAATCGCAAAAAGAGAAAAAATTGAACAGCTGAAAGAGCAGATCCAAGTCTGCCAAGCGCCCACGTCTATGGACGAATTTCAGTTTCACAGTTGACGGTTCTAACTCCCTGATGCGCACACGGCACAGGTGCTCAGCCCATGGCTGGCTGATTACTTATTTTCTGAGTGTGTTTCGGTTCAAGGCAAGGCGCATAAATTAAGATTCAGGGTTCGAACTGTAACGCTTAGTCGGCTAATGGCTGTTGTGATGGCATTAAGATACTAATGCAAGTGCAAATTGTGTTTCGAGCTTAACGAGTGCGACGAGTGTAATCAGCTCAGAGAGAGAGAGAGAGAGAGAGAGAGAGAGAGCGAGATAGATAGATATTATATATCTATATGTTATATATATGTTCACCTTTTATAGACATTTGCACAAGCCTTTCTTTGCACTACGCTTTGCTGCACTTCAAAAAGTATCTTTTTGGCTGTAGCTGCAAATGTATCTGGCTCTGTATGCGGGTCGCGTGATGTTTGCCGAGCAGCGCCCAAAAATGCGAAAGAGTGAAACAAAAACAACAACTCAAATTTCGCACGAATCGCCCCGCGAATTTGCATCTTTTATTTGGCTCCGCATTTTGTTTGTTTGCCACATACTTTTTCAGCTTCTTCTTCTTCCTCTGGCTTCTCCTTGCCTTTTATAATCTTTTCATTTGTTTGTTTTTTCTTATAAGAAAAATATGGAAAAAGAGCCAAAAAATAGCCCTTCAAGTGTGGGGCAAAGCTGAGCCGAACAAGCTGCAACTGAACGTTTGATCTAACCATAAGAAGATATCACATGGAAAATTTTGATACAGCTGCCTCTGCACCGATCGGACCAAGACATCGAAAGTACTCGCATGCTAGATGGCGGAAGTGAACCGGCTCAATTTAAAAGTGAACCACTATTGGTTCTTTTTACTATAAGCTGAGCTGTTAGACTAGCAGAGCAGTAATCGGAATCGGAATCGGAACTGGAACCTGAACTGAATAAAATTTAAAACTTGAATAAGACTCAAAAATATAATTGAACCGGAACTAGTTCCAGCAACGAATTCAATAAGCCTTAAAAAGATGTCGGATTGCAAGCGAGCCTTGATTCGCAGCGGAACTGGAACTGGAATCGAATCAAAAATGAAGTGATAAGAACTGATTCCACATTGTTAAGCTCAATAGGAAAACAGACAGAGTATAGAAGCTTAAATCGCATCAGAGCTGGAATCGGAACCAATAATGGAACTGGAACCAACGCTTGATTCGAGCGGAACGAAATTAAAAGGAAAATAGAGCTGGAACTGGAACTGGAACTAGAATTGGAACTGGAACTGGAACTAGAATTGGAACTGGAACTGGAACTGGAACTGGAATTGAAACCAGAAACACAAATGAAGCTGAATACTGAATTGAAATATTCCAAAGATGAAAGTAGAATTAGAGTATGAATCGGAACTGATGCTGGAACGGAACTAGTTTGCATCAAGCGCTCACATCTGAAGAGTAGCAGATGAAGCTATGCGGATATCAGCTAGGCAAACATCACAATGGAACTGATTCATACTTTCAATGTCTCTGCTTCGGCTAGAGTATCCACGATGCGGCTTGGCTCAATTAGCAGCTGCCTCACCTATCTGCTATGGACTCATCTTCTTCTTATGTACAACTTTTCGACATTCAATATTTGCCGTTTTTATAACCTTTTTCTCATGTATATATATTTTTTTTATTTTTGCATTTTGCGTTTATGAGAAATGTGCAAAAAAAAAACAATTTAAACATTTGTGCAAATATTTGCGAAGAAGAAGAAGCGACGGCAGCGGCAGCAGCAGCGACGGCAGCAGCGACGGCAGCAGCGAAAAGTGCAATAAAAATTGTTGCGATTGGCAACAGCAAAAACTTTTCCAGCTTGTGTGTGTGTGTGTGTGTGTGTGTGTGTGTGTTGGTCGGGCATTTTGTAATTTATGTGAAATTTGTTAGAAAACAAATTGAAAAGTGTTTAAATTTTATTTGTAATATTTTGCACTTGGACTGGCGGCAGTTCAGTGCCTATAAATTCGCTTGAAGCAATAATCATAAATCAGAGAGGGAGAGAGAGAGAGAGAGACACACACACATGCATACACCTGGCAATTAGAGACATGTTAATGTATTTGCATATCTGCTGGATGCGCCCGGGAGCTGAGTGCGCGCTCGAATGCCATTTAATTGCCGCGTGGCAAATGTTATTCATATGCAATAATCGCACTTGCCTCCTCCCACCTCCCACCTCACACCCCTCCCTGCCCCTTTCCCCTTCGCCACGCCCCCTCACCTGGCTGCGAGCAATGTGGCTCATTAAGGCCAATGTCAGTCAAGTGATGCTGTGCATCCACACAGACGCAGTCATAGATACATTGCTATAGATACAGATACAGATGCAGCCGCACAGCGATAGATACAGCTACACGGCTATAGATATAGATACTTTATTCAATTTGTGGCATACAAAAGTGAAATCAATTCTGGCTGCGTTTTGCAATTGGAAGCGTCAACAGCAGACGCCCACGAGCTGCCGGCAACGGCAAGCCTGACCCAAGCGTCAGATCGACCGAGTGACTAAGCGACGCGACGCGACGCAACGCCTCGATTGACTGGCCCGCCTTCAATCCGGATTGAGCGGGTGTGGGTGCGGGGGCGGATGCCGGCCAATGTCCGGAGCCGGTGCAGCCGCTGACGTTGGCCGCTGCGTGGGCACTTGGCAGATTTTGTCGTGCGGCGCGTGGGCGCCAAATGAAATGCAATTCGGACGCGCTGAATGAATGGGCAACGCGCAAATGTTGAACAATCTGGTCGATTGTCGTTGAATGCTGCCGCCAGATTGAAAGCGAAATTGAATTGAATTGCATGAGCATGCATCGATAGTTGGCAAATTGAAAGTGAAAACTGAAGTTGGAAGTGGGCCAAAGTTTGTTCATTGAAATTGAAAGTGCAGGGGAGATTGAAATTGAAAGAAGAATTGAATTGGATTTTGATTGAATGGCGCAAGTTTTCAATCAAAAATCTTTGAGAAGAGAATTCATTTCGAATTGAATCGAAGGCTTGAATGGAAACTGAAAAAGTTGGTTCATCAATATTGAAAGAACTTGGAAGTTGAAAGTCAAATTGAAGCTAGATTGAGGTGAAAGTAATTTGAAGAGTAGCGCCTATTGAAAGAAGAGAATCTGGGCTAGTTAAGAGTCAACAAAATCTGGCAAATTGAAGCTAAATTTGATTGAAATTGAATTCGATTTGGAGTTGGAGTTGAAGGCAAAAAACAACAAAGCAAATCAGGAAGAGAATTTCCCACAGTTAACGCCCACTTACCTGTTGCACACTGGGCGTGGTCGCCGCGCCCGCTGGCGAATCGAGCGGCGAAGCCGAGCAACTGGAATGACTGCTATCCTGGGAGTGCGACTGCGACTGCGCCTGCGACTGCAAGAGGAGTGTTAGCAATTAGTTTAGGCCTAGTTAGCCGGAGCTGGCGTTGTGAGTAGACGCACCTGTCCATTGGCAGCGCCGCACAAGTTGCGCGTGGAGACGTAGGGGCCGGACAACTGGCTGCAGCTGTTCGCCACGTTGAAGTTGAAGTTGTCCAATGGATTTGTCATCGCGATTACCGAGTTGAGGATCTCTGGAGTTTTGGGCGTGTGGCCGCCCGGGCCGCTGCCCTCGATGCTCAGCAGCGCCGCGGCCGGTATATTGGAGTTGAACATGCTGTCGGTCGTCGTATTGGAATCCGATTGGACTTGCACGTAAAATGCCAATTGGATGCGAATCAACACACAATAATAATAATAATAATAATAAGATTTATTATGAAAAAAAGCGCACAAAAAAAAACGAATTGAGAAAATATATATTTAAAAAAAATCACACGTAATTCGTTCTTTACTTTTTATTTTTAATTTGTTGCTGACTTTTTTTTTAATGTGTGTAGAACTTTAGATATTTATTTAAGCTTTTGTTTGTTGTTGTTGTTGTTTTTGTTTTGTTTAATATTTTATTTGTAAATCACAGTTGAAGGCCTACGCGTTGCATTTGTTGGACTGCTGTTTGTTGTTAATTAAATATTTATTGTTTTATTTTTTAATATTTAATTATATAAATTTTCTTTACTCTTGTATATGCGTTTGTATAAATATAGATATATATGTGTTTATATATATATATATATTGTATAAGTATATAAATGTTTTTTGTTGTTTTTTTGGACACTCGCGTCTCTGTGCTTGCTGTTGTTTGTTTGTTTGTTTCTTTGTTGTTGTTGTTGTTGTTGTCTCTCTCGGTTATCACAAATTGTTGTTAATAAAATGTTTTTGCTTTTTAGCTGACTTGTTTGATTGTTGCTGTGCAAATATTGTTGTTGTTGCTGTTGTTGTCGCTGCCGCTGCTGCCGTTGCCGCTGCGTCGCGACGCGGTTCCATCGGCGCTTCCAGCGTGTGTTGCTCACAGCGTTGTGTTCAACTGAATGTTTTGGCCACCGGCATCGGTCGACATCCACATCCACATCCACAATATCAGCGACATCCGAGACAGCAACCGACGACCAACACGAATCGCGCACGCTCGCTCTGTATATGCCAGCAGCAGACAGACAGAGAGAGTGAGCGAGCGAGCGGCGCAGCGCAATCGAGAAAGACAGAGAGAGAGAAAGAGAGGGAGAGAGAGAATTAGTGAATGAGTGAGTGATAGGGCAGAGCAGCGGGTGAGAATTAAATATAAAAAAAAACAAGTCGCAAAGCGCGCTCGTAGCAACACAAGCGACTTCAAAGTTGATCGACTTAAATATACCCTGCAACGGATTTTCATAAACTGAACTCAGATTAATCACATGATTTCTAAAGCAAAGATAATAGAAACCATTTCTAGTAGTTCGTAAGGGAACACATTAAAATGCTCGACTTTGAGATACCCCGCATACAGCTTATGCTGGCTCTAACTACCATAATTATACAAAAAAGTTAAGTCGCATTTCAGCAAATCTGAAATAAATTTCTTTACTCAAAATTTCAGCTCTGATTGACTTATAGATACCCTAGAATAGTTTCAAACATTCTCTAAATAGACTAGGTATCACAAGCAAGTTGTGTTTGCATTTATTTGAGCAGCTTCAAAGAAATAAGTGTTGCTCAGCTGAAAGTGAATGACTTATAGATACCCTACAATAATTTTGAAGCCACTTTAAGTAGACTACGCAAATGGTTTGTGCTTCAGAAATAAATCAATTATATTCGAGTAACTTCTAAAGCAACTATGACTTAAATCTGATCGACTTTAGATACCCTAACTGGACTAAGTCACAGCCAAGCAGATAAGTCATCAAACAACTGGCTAAAACTAGGCTAAGCCTGTGTTCCATGCAGCAAAATTTCAGTATACCCCGCAGAGTCTTCTTTGCAGGGTATACGAAAACAATTAAATTATAAAATAAGCGTAAGTAAATTGATTTATGTAAGCGCCGAGCAGCTGACAGCGAACAGAACAACTGACCGACTGACCAGCTGACCGATTGAGTGACTGATCGACTGAGTGATTGAACGCCTCAATGCTATTCGCATTGGCAGTTCGCTGTGCGTAACTTAGTTAGCCATGTTAATGTCTCAATTAAGCGCCTTAATCGTTTAATTGAGTGCAGAATGCAGTTGCCTGATAGCCAAAGGCCGAGGATCTACAATTGATCGGTCAATCAAAGTTGAAGGTGAAATGCAAGCAACTAGCGCACAACAACAACAACAACAACAACAACAACAACAACAAGATCAGCAAATATTGCAAATATTTCAGCTATGCAATAGGTCAATTGAGACTATGCCGAATTGGACTCTGGAATGCAGAGCCAAAACTAATTTCTGATAAATCATATTCAGCTTCGCTCTGCATTTCATGTGGGAAGGCAGCTGCGGCGTTGCCACCTGGCATTAACTAAGCTCAGGCACTTAACTCAACATATCTGCAGATTTAATCATATATATATATATATATACTTGCAGCGGCGTTGCCACCTTTGAGGAAATCCGCAAAGCCATAAAAACGTTTTTATTTTGATGAATTTCAATCACAAATTGAATTAGATTCGAGCGCAGCCAACTTAACGAGGCACTTAACGACCTTGCTTTTTATGCTAACAGCGTTGCCACCTGGGCGAGCAAACGCTGCAGCGTTTTATTATTTCATTTTCAGTTCACTCAGCACTGACTGAGTGAGCTCTACTTTTTTTGTGTTTTTCGTAAAGTTTTTATTTTTTTATGGCAATTTGTTGCCCTTTTTTGTTGTGTGTGTGCTGTGTGTGTGTGTGTGAGAGTGTGTTTTGTTTTAATGGTCCGCGCGCTTTGAGGTTTTTCAAGGAATTGAGTTATGTGCTCAAAATTGTGTGGAATGCCCCCAGCCGGAGATTAGGTTAAGCAGCAAAACTGGACTAATGATGTTTTGTATGCGAGTTGCCTCTCTGTGTGTGTGTGTGTGTGCCTCCCCCTTAATTTCAGACGAAATGCAAATTGCGGCGCGCTGTCAAACTTAAAAGCGAACCACCCCCCAGCTGCCAACAACGAGAGCCAAACGCCTTTGCCCCTCCGCCCTTCCCACCCTCTCCACACATTTCCCCGCGCTCTCCTTTAGCCGCCGCTCGTCTCGTAATACGCCGTAGCCGTAGCCGAGCCTGTTATGGCTTTTGCCATTTCTATTATTGCCTTTTGGGCCATTTATCATTTTGGCAAGAATGTTTGCTGCGGATGCCCCCAACGCACGCTGCCCGACCCTCCTGCCAGCCACTGCCATGCAACAACTTTTAGTGCCACTTTTATGTGCCTCACACACACACACACACAGACGCACACTTGTGTGAATTGAAAGTCAGTCAAAAATAAAATTTTAAAATACAAAAAAACAACAAAACAAAAAACAAAAAAAAAGTCAGAATAAAGAATTATGATTTATGACTTTCGCATGTTTTGCTGTTTGTGTTCGGCTCTAATGTGTGTGTGTGTGTGTGTGTGTGTGTGTGTGTGTGTGATTTAGCTTTTGTTCTGCTGGCTTTTTGAAAAGCTTTGAAAGCCTTTGCCTTTGATGTGCATTTGCGAGTTGTTAAAACGAAAATCACTTTTGACATTCGCGCTGTTTCGGTTTCAATTTCGATTTCGAATTCGATTTCGATTTCGATTCTTGCAGTTTTGACCAAATGCGGCACATGCAATACAAGTGTAACCCTCCCCGTCTACCTGTGACTCTTTTTGGCCAACTGCCCAGCTGTGCGCTGCTCGTGAAGTTTTCTTTTGAGGTCACGGCAGCTGGCGGCACGTTGCGCATACGCCGCGTTTGCCGTCAGCCAGTGACATGCGCAAACAGTTGACAATCGCCGGAGACTCGACGCAGCTTGACTCGATTGCCAATCGATAAACGCATCGAAGAAGCCACTGGCAACTGGAAACTGGCAACTAGCAGCTGGCAAACAGCCCAGCACCCAGCACCCAGCACCCAGCAGGGCGCGCGCACAGCTACTCGTAGTTGGCTTTAAGTTTATTTCAGTTTAATTTATATGCATATATATATATATATATATATATATATATTTATATATATGTATTGTCTGTTAGCTATTAACATTCCGCAGCGGGTTTTTTGTTTTGTTTTTTGTCGCCTTGTCGAACTTGTTGATTCGCTGGCATTTCTCGATTGCCCTCAAGTGTGCGAAATTGTTTGCGCGCTCGATTGGAAATGCTAAGATCGCAGCAAGTGCGCTCCGCATGCATTTGCACTTTGCATTGAGCTGATCAAGTAATCGATTATAACATAACATCGATATGTTTTGGATCATTTGCAATTCGGAGTTCGTTCTACATCATATGCGGGTCAAGGTCTTAGCTAACAAGTTTATTTATTAATTTAAAAATGATATCGATAAGTTCTAAAATACATTTAATGAGTGATCGATAGTCTAAGATCCATCTAACTTTCGATCAATATATTAGCTTACATTTTAATTAATTTCGTAAGCAATTAAACGAATTTGAGATGTTATCGATAATTATTGTATTGAATAATCCATATTCAAGGAACACTGAAGTTATCGATTAATGTAGCACTGATTTAAACCGCATCGTTACCTCTTAATGCACAGTTATTGAATGATCGAAAGTTAAATATTGTTACTGTTATCGATTAATATATTGCTTTGATTACTGATTAAGTTTTTAGCAAACTTTGATTGCTTAAATATTAATAGCCAATCGATACTCAGCAGATTAATCGATCTACATATGCAAGCGAAAGACGAAGCTAATCATCGGCAAATGAACTCAGAACACGTTATACAAAGTTATCGATATTTCAACATTCCTAAGACAACTCGTCGCGCATGCAAAGCAAACATCAATCGCGCTTTTTATATGATACCTGTCTTCGATTTATCTGCTAGATCAATTAATTAATCAATCAACGAAATATTTCCCATTTAATTTGAGCCCGTTTGGCACAACATCAATCCATACCAATATATATTTAGGTATTGGAGACAATCGATTAAAAATATATATGCTATATATGTGTGTAAAAATAAAACCGGAATGCTCCTAAAAATATAATTATAACAATAAACAATTCGCCACAAATTGCGAAATGAGTCACGTGGAATAAAATAAATAAAAACCGCAACAAAATTTCGTTCGATAATTACCAAACGAAATTTATTGTGTCTTCCTTGGAATGAATGGAAACAACCGCAATGTGAAATGTGCATAAAATAAATTAGTGGCAAATTGTATAGCACTCACACTCGCACTCATCCTATTCGTATTCGTATTCGCACTCGTACTCATATTCATATTCAAATTCGATAACAAGTACGAGGCTTAACAATGATTTGTTGTGTCCAGCTAAATGGGGCGAGCATATGTACAGCTGTGCTCAAAAAAATAGTAGAGCGCCTGAGCACTGAGTGTTATATATATATATATATATATATATATATGTATATATATATACAAATATATAAGTATCGTTATTCATTGGATCGCATCGCAGCGTCTGTGGATCGTGTGCAATCCGAAAATAAAATATAATGCACATGCATATGATATTTAAAACAATTTTGTTAAGTATTTAACATTATTATCATGCTGTCTGTGCCTTGTGCATTATGTTTGCGCTACGTGCCTCAGCTTCACTCCACATTTCACACGATTCGAGCGAACGTACGTCCGAAACAAGCAAAAGTCAAGAGAGAAGCGAACACTAAGTCGAACCAACAGACAACAACAATAACCAAACGAGTAACTTTCAAGATATATATATGTATATATATATATATATATATATACCACCAATTGATCAGTTAGAACTAGTGCCTTGAGTTATCGATTATCTATCAATACTGACATCAAATAAAGTTAAGAGCTACGATTTGCATTAATCAAACGAGATGTGCTCTAACAACTTTGCATCATAAATATATCGATAATATATCGATAAATTGTGTTTAGTTGTTGCAAATTAAGTCTTACCATAATTAATTTGCGTAAGTAATTGGCGCAAGATCTAAATGTACGTTAAAATGAAATCGATAAATTATGCATGCATC